AAACAACCTCTGGGCTGATCTAAGTCAGGGCACGGTTAACTCACAGATAGAACCCTCAAACAACCGCAGGACTGATCTAAGTCCGGGCATGGTTGACTCACAGATCATATTGGAATCTAGCTTGTTAGGTTTTGCAACTTTTTGATCGCTTTTCATCAATGTTTTGCTGCCTTTTTCATTGTTAGCTCAAGAAGCTCGAGAGTGAGTTGCAGTCTCTCAAAGAAAATAACCGTACATTAACAGCAGCAAAAGACTCGTTACTCGGAGAGAAATCCGCTCTCAAGAATGAGGTAAGTTAATTAGTAAGCACGCTTTCTATGAAGTAGAACGGCCAGTTCTCGAATGGTACGCGTCAGTTCGTAGAACTGGACGAACGCGGCCCAAACTAGTACTGAGAACTGACACAAACCATTTGAGAACTGACAGATTGGTTCAATTGGAAAGTGCCCTTACAGTTGAATTAATCTTTACGTCTTCTGTATACGTAGCCCTTTCCTACGCAGACGTTCTTATGGTCGTCACACAACGTTTTTCTTGCGTGACAGCGTGACGACCCTAAGAAGGTAGAATAACCCTACTGCTAGGGCTAACTCTTTTGGTTTTTCGTGTCCACTTATGTGAAAGGCTTCAATGAATAGTTGCGCGTATCAGGTTCTTTCATTTCCTGGGAAATCACAATATGTTTCTCATGGTTGTTTTTCTATCCAAGATAATGCGCTGGACATCAAAGACCAATAATCTGATGGAACAATACAAAAATGTCAACCCAGATGAGTACAAGAGAATGGTGGAAGAAAAGAAGTTATTCCAGCAGCAAATCGCTAGTCAGAAGACTGAAAACCAAAGGACTAAAGCTCAGCTAGAAACACTAAGGGCTAACCTGAATGCTACTACTGGGGAACTCGCCACCTTAAAGGTGAATCTTGAAAACCTTCGACTTTTAAGGATTCAAGTTAAATTTATTAATGCCAATAATATTACAGATTTTGATTTAAAAGATATATTCTCGACTTTCACATCCCCATAATGCTTTGCGATTTTGGGGGGTAACCAATCAAAA